GTAGTATTATTTTTTTCAAAGCTTGAATCAATTTTTTATTTATTTAAGGGGGTAAGTACATTTTTCATTTTTTGAAAGCCACCATTTATGTGAAACTGAATAATTCAAATCATTTCTTAAACTAAATACATTGATATTTTAATTAATAATATAGAGGAATAAATCCTAGTATTAGATATTTTCATACCAACAAAAAAAACAGAAATCAAAAAAATGAAAAAATAGATCAAAAAAAAATAAATAAAAATCATTTATTTATTTTATCTAAACTTTAAAATTTGGCACAATTACTTATTCTTTATTTGGTTTTATTTTTGACTCTTTATGAAAATAAATTTTTTTTGGAATATTTTCGAGAAATAAATTACTGTTTATTTGGAAAGAATTTCCAAAATGAATTTATAAATCCTATTTTCATTTAATTCATCTAATTCTAGTTTTAGTTCAGAAAATAAGAGATTTTTTAATTTTTCTTAAGAATAAGGGTTTATTGGACAAATTACGTTTGATTTTATAATTATTTATTTTCCATTAAAATGAGATCTCAAAAATATTCTGAATCTGATTGAAATTTGTTCTTGAATTTTTCAATTATTTTGATTTGAATCTTTTGTAACTGTTTTTTGATTCAAAGAATCCAACACCTTTATTGTAATTTTTGAAATAGTATTCCTTGTTATGACTTGGTTTGATAAAAATATTTTAAAAAAGAATTTTGAAAGCAAATTTGTCACAAAATGTTTTTTAAAATAATTATAAATAGTAATGGGGCGAAAAATTCAAGGTAAAAAATTTTGGATTCCTACAAATTAAGAAGTTAAAGAAACCAAATCTTTAAAAATAGGTTTTGATCGATTTTAATTTTTTCATTCTTGATTTCAACAAATTTATTTGGAAAGGTGATCTTTCGTGTTTGGTCTTCTAAAAGAAAATATTTATTTTAAAAACACACCTTTCGGGGTATAATTTTTTGGTTTACTGTTCGGATTAATTTCCATCTTTCGTATAAACACATCTCTAGATCCGAAACCAAATTTAATTAAGGGACTAGTCTCTATTAAATTTTTTTAGGTAAATTTAATAAAGATTTAGAATTTTTTTGCTTATTACTTAGATTTGAAATCAAAGTGAAGAACTTCTTTGTATAGTAATGGAATCTCGATAAATGACATTCATTAAATTTAATTATTATAATTCTAGAAATAAAATATTTTTCCTTTTTTTCAATTTTTTGTAAGTTGGTTTTTTTCAACTTTTCTCAAAAATATAAAAAATAAAAAAAAATGTAAGCAATAAAGCATAACCTTGTTGTTTTTGTGAAAAAACAACAAAAAATAGTATAGATTATAAACCTGAAAAGGTTTTTTTGGATTTGCATGAAAAAATAGTTTGATTCGAAAAAAAATATGCAATATATGCTTTCCTCTTAATAAAAGATTTTCTTTCTTTTCTTGTACCATTCTTTTTTTTTTCATTAATCTACTTTTTGAGTTTACACACTCTTTTTTTGTTTAATTTGTAGTTTTTTTAATTATTCCAAAATTATCCTATTAAAAGTTTTTGTCAGAGTCAAAAAAAATGAAAGAAAAGAATAAGTTCTATTTTTTTAAAAAGTAATTATTGATAAAACAAATTGAGTTCTTTATAGAGTCAAGTTGGATGAACAGAAGTGAAAGAGAAAATATTCACTAATTATAAATTATTTTTTCGTTTTTCAAAATGAGAATAAATATGAATTTTTGAGAAAATAATTAAATCCAAAATTGATCAAAAAATTCTCATCTGTTAAAGATATTTTTTTTTTTAAAAATATTTAAAAGTCACTTTTTTTTACAGAATTGTAAAATTTTAGAAAAACAAGAACTAAAAGTTCTAACATTGAAAAAACCAGTCTATTTTCAATTTTAAATATATTTCTAAATAAAGATTCCTTATTTAGTTATTGGTCAAAAAAAAAATTAATAGAGACTAGTCCCTTAAACCAAAAATTTAATCAAAAAAAATTTTCAAATTTTTTCAAAAAATTGAAAAATGAAAAGATTCAACTCTGAATTACTTTGGCTCTTTTCACAAATAGAGTAGCGAATCATTTTTTTGTTTCAAAGTTTCAATATCTTGTTGTAGTCAAAAAATAATTTTCAGTAAGGTTCACACAATTATATTTTTCGAAAGGGTAAAGTGTACTTACTTCCTGAATCACTTATCACTTCAATAAGTTTTTTTGGCTGAGATTTAAATTGAGAAAGTAATTTTTTTAAAAAATAACCAATTAAGGGACTATTCTATATATATATATATATATATATATATATATATTTGCCCAATTTCTAAATAAGGATTGCTAATCTAGAAATATGTTTAATATTGAAAATAAACAGGTTTTTCAAATCTCAGTAAATGGCAAAAATTTTTCTCAATCTAAATTAAATTTAGGTAAAGAAAATTAATAGAGATTTGACCCTTAAACAATTTTCATTCTGAAATCAAGACTTTACAACAGAAAACGAAAAATATATTTTACCATTTCCAAGAATTAACTCAATTGTTAATAAAAATAATAAGGTAACTTTTTTGAGTTTTATACGGGAAATATGTGAATTTTGTATTTCAAAAACTCGACTAAAATTAAAAAATTGCCTAAAAGAAATTAACTCACGCTTTTAGATAAGTCAAATAAAAATTACAAAAAAAAACAAATAATAATTTTAGGATCTTGAAAATATTTCATTTTATTTTGAAAAAATTACTACGAATTTAAGGTTTACAATTCCTGAAATTTGAAAAAAGATTATCGTGTGTTGTGTGTATTGACTTGTAAATTTGGTAATTTCCTGATCGATCTTGTACTTGGTATGGGTTTTAAAAATGGTTCAAAATGGCAATTTTTGACAATTTATGTTTTTTTTTTTCATAAATCAGTAATGAAGAGTGTAAGATTAATTGGATGGAATTTAAGTTATCATAAAATGCCTGGCTTGTTGGTTGTTGATTGAAAATTTTAATTAGGTTTGGTTTTATTCGGTGCCTATAAAAAACAATTTTTTTTTTTCTCTGGAACTGCCCAGCCTCTGAATATAATGGTAAAATCTGGATATCTGAACTAAAAAAAATCAATATATCTCATTGATTAAAAAAAATTAATATTTTTAATATTATTAACAGAAAAGATTCCATAACTTTATTAGCCCTAGTGGAAAATAAAAGTATATAGAAATCTTTTTAAAAATTCCGAAATCACAATTTAGGAATTCATTCAAACAAGACGATCTAAAAACTCCCCCCCCCTTAAACAATAAAAAAAAAAAAACAATTTTTTTTCATTATGTTAATTGACAAAAAAGTATTTAAAAATTATATTCTACAACCCAATTTTTTTAAATTTATTCTTGAACACCTACAAATCTATTAATCTTAACTTCTTCAATTTGGATTTCGGAAGAAAAAAAAAAATAAATTGTTAAAAATTGACACTTTGAACCAATAATAAAACTCATACAAAATCCAAGATCGATCAACTAAGAACCAAATTTACAAATCAATACATCCTACGTAAGATAATCTTCTTTCAAATTTCAGAGATTGTAATCCTTAAGGAACTAGTAACTCTTATTTATTTTTTTTCCCAAAGGTAATAGAGTAATTATTTACACATGGATCTAATCAAACCCGATAAGTAACTTCATTTATCAGCTTTAGAGAAAGAAATAATCATTTTTAAGAGTTTATTTTTATCCAATTATATTTCAGTAAAAAGATCTGATCCTTTTTTGTTTGGAATTTTTTCGGATCAAAATAGAAAAACAAAAATTTGCAAAAAAATTTAATTTTGAAGAAATCTTACTTTTAGTAATTTCAAGAGACCAATATGAACAAATAACCTTGATACTTTAACCTCTTATTTTAAAAATACTTTAAAAATAAATCAAATATTCAATCTCTTGAAGATCTGTAAAAATTTGATCTTCTGTTTTATTTGCTAATATTTATTAAATTTCTTGAAATATCAAAAGATAATGAAATTTTTCTGTTTCAAATATCAAGAGTATTAACAAGGAAATGTTAGTCTTAAAATCATGTTATTTGATAATATCTATTATTTTTTTTATTATTTTGAAATATACATTTGAATTATTTTTATTTGTTTGAAAATCTTTAAAAAATTGAGAAATAATTGCTAGGCCTATTGGTACATTTAATGTTTGTGCTGTCAATGACCCACTGAAAAAATTAAGAATTGGTTTATTAATTATTGATTATGATTTAATCAAATTAAAAAGTATTTCTAGAGATTATAAAGTTGAATTTTTAAGGTTTTGAAAACATATTTTGGGAGAATTTTTAATTTGATTTGTTTGGTTCTTTTTCTCAGTTTTTTTTATTCAAAAAAAAGAAAAAATTTAATTGAGTGGTATTTTGAATCAAATAAATTATATTTTATCAAGTTTAAAAATAATTATTGTCATTTTTTTGAAATTTAGTATTTTTTTTTTTAAAGGGTGTTATTATAGAACTTAGTGGTTTTATTTTTAAAGTGTGTTTTTTTACACTTCCTTTACAAGTAATAAGGTTTTTTTTTTCTTTAAAAGAAAATAATTTTTTTTTTCAAAAATTCAAAAAAAGTAGGATTTTGAACTTTTCAAAAATGATAAAATTGGATCAAACTTTTAAAATTAATAATTCGTTTCTGAAAATAGTTGGGAAAGTAAGTTTTGCTTAGTAATCAATCATATTTTTACTTTAATTTTCAATTTCAAGATGTGGTGAAATTTTTTGAATTTTTTATTTAATTCATTGAAAGATTTTAATAAGTTTATTAATCCCTTAAAAAATAAAGTTTTAATTATTACACTCTTTCGGAACATGTTAATTTCAATATTTAATGAAGGGTGTTCAGCGATTAAACTATAATCTGTTCAAATTAAGGTAATTTGTATCAAAAATTCACAATATAAACCTGTTTTTTTTATGTTTTTAAATGATTTTCATTAATTTTGATAATGGAAGGGATAGTTTAGTGGTAAAACATTGGCTCTGCATGCCTAAGCCTGGGGTTCGATTCCCTGTCGCTTCAATTTTTTTATTTAATATTTTTTTTTTTTTTTATATTGTATGATTTACTTTATTTTGGGAAGAAGAGTTACTCAGGAGAAAAATCAAGTGTTTACCTACTAATAATGGAAGGACAGAAACGAGTCAGTCTGGGTAACTTGAAAAAAAAAAAAAAGACAAAAACAGAATACTGGAACGATCAAAAAATAAACGATCAAAAAAAAAAACAAAAATGGCAGCTACTAAACAACTACCCACCAACGAAGTATTCACAATTTCTTCGAAATAATTAAAAAAAAAAATTTTAAATAAAAGGATCGTGTCTTTTTTTATGAGCCTTCTTGACAAAAATCGACAGTTGGTTTTTTTTTTTTGATTTTTTACCAACTTTCTTTGAAAAACCCTTTTTTTGATTTTTAACTTAGTTTTTTTTTTTTTTCATTTTAATTTTTCTTTTTGTTTTTTCACCAATAAAAATTTGGAACTTACTCGATTCCTAAATATTTCTTTTTCTTTATCACCTAAATTACTAATTTGTCATTAGTAATCAGAGTGAGTGCCCACAAGTGCCCAGGTTTTTTTTTAATTTTTAAAATAAACCCAAAATTTCAAAATTTTTCTCTTTATTTCTCAAATCAAAAAAAACCTAATGGTCGTTTTCCAGAATTTAAAAGAATTGAGTTAGTTATTTAAATACCATATCCATCAGCAGTAATCAGGACGAGTGTCGTATAGTTCTGTAGAGTTCCTAGGTTTTTTTTTAATTTAAGAAATAAACTGAAAATTTAATAAAATTTTCAGTTTATTTCTCAAAATAAAAAAAACCTAACTTGTGAGTGCCTCGTTTTTCCAGAATTTAAAAGAATGGAGAAAAATCTAAGATTTTACTCAATTCTTTTAAATTCCAAAAAAACACAACGGCTGTAAGAGGATCTTTGATCACTCCCTTAAATCAATAAAAAAAAAAGTTTATAGGTTTTTAATTTCAGTGGATAATTTCCACAATTTGATTTAAAAAAGGAATTAGATAATATACCTTTTTCAAGTTTCTTCTGATTTTAAAATATTATTCCTCTTAGATATCAAAATTTTCTTCTCCTAAAAAAATGTGATTGTTTCTTTTTTTGATATATCAAGATTTTTTGGAAATATGTATTGCTTCATTACACTTTGTAACAAATAGACACGAGAAAGTTTTTTACATTACATACATTTACCTTAGACAATTATAAATTATATAATTCATCATATCAAATTTGAAATTTTATTTCTCTTTCTGAAATGATTTCTTCTCTTATGAAATTTTGTTCTTTGTTTTTTGTATATTTTGAAAGTAAAATTTAAATTTGGTTTTTTCTGATTACTTTAAGTTGGAAACAAATTATCAATAAAGAAAAGTGAAAAAATGAGTATTGATTCGTTAAACAATAAAATATATTTATGCTTTTTTCATTCTATTTGAAAATTTGTTGAGATTAAAAAAGTTATGAAAATGATTTTTTCAATCAAAAAGAAAAAATACCCTCAATTTTACCCTTTAAAAATTTTAGAAAAAATCGAGATCACAAAATTTAAAAAATATTTTATAAGGTCAAGAACATACTAACAAATAAATTAAATTAATATCAGGAACCAATAAATATATAATAATGATTTTGTATATAAACTCTTTTTCAGCCAAAGGTGCCCAATTTTATTTAAGAAATTAAACATGTTTTATGAGTTTAATTCTTTATTCTTCTCAAAATAAATTTCTAATTTTTAGATCAAAATCATTTTTTCTCATTTTGCAAATTTTTTTTTTTTTGTTGATTTTTACTTTTTTTTTTTTTTTTTTTCTTTTTTATTTTTTTCTTTTCAATTCATTGTTTATTTTTTTTTATTTTTTATCTTTTTGTTTTCTTGATTTTTGTTTTCTTTTTTTATAAAAAATAAATTTGAAAAAACAAAAAATGTTACAAACTCCAAATATACATACAGAAAAGTGAGATGTTGTATCTTCACAGAAAAATTCATATATTTATAAGCAAAAAATCTTATTGTCAACAATTTAAATTTCCCAAAGAAATTGAGAAATTTTGCACTCGACGTTCCAATGAAAGATCGCAAAAATTTTTTTAACAGTTTTTTTTTTTTTTGAAATTTGTCTAGTTTGTTCAGGTATTTCTTTGATGATTATCAACTCCAATCCGAAGTTTATTATATTCTTATTTCTAAACAATCTTCGGATGGTTAATTCTTAAAAAAAAGTGAATTTTTCATTTTTGGGCTCAGCCCCTTAGAGTGAAATGGAGTTTATATAAATTCCTAATCAAAAATTGTGACTAACCTGAAATAATAAATTGAAAAAAAAAAAAAAAATATACCCTTTAGTATTCAAGAACAATTAATAACTAAATATGATTTGCAATTCACTTTTAAGTCATTCTAAATCTATAAAAGCCTGTAGTATTAAAAATTAAAAAAAAAATAAAACCAAAAACTAAAAAAAAGTGAATCACAATTTTTGAAATGAGCATTACCGATTTTTTATTACTGAACTTTCACTGAAAAAAAGTTGAATAACAAGATTTTTTATGAATAATTAAATTCCATTTTCAAATATATGACATAGTCTCACTTTTCTTAGTGATTATTGGTCTTTTTGAAGATCTCTTTTTTTTTTCCACATGATCTTTTTAAAAAAAACAATAAAAGAAAAAAAAAGATAAAGAAAAAGAAAAACAAAAGGAGAAAAGAAATAAGAAAGGAGAAAGAAAAGATGAAATAAAAAGAATTAAAGAAAAACAAAAACTAAAATTTTTCGAAATCAAAAAAAAGCAAAACGAAAAAAAAAGAAAAAAGATGGCAAAAGGAAAAAAAAAAAAAGAAAAAGAAAAACTAAAATTTGACCAATTTCGAAAAAATGATTCCGATCTAAAAATTGAAAAATTCTTTTTGATAAGAATACGAATTAAACCATCAAAAAAACTCCCATTAACATTATAAAGTGAGCCAAAATTTTTGAAAAATGGTTTATAAATAATATTATGGTGATTGAGTTGAATAAAGATATTTATAAATATATTTGCCCCAATTTTTCAGAAATTGATTAGAGTATAGCAACGCATTCTAACTAAAAATAACTTGAATAATCCTCATAAAAATTTACTTAATATTCTAACTCTCTAAAATTAAAATTTTAAAAAAATTAAAATTTTAAAAAAATTAAAATTTTAAAAAAATTAAATCTTATTTTATTTTGGAAAAATCTATCAAAATCTTAAATTAAATAATAGTTTTTTTGTAAATTTTTTGAAATTTTTTTCAATTCTTTGAATAAAAATAACAAAAAAAAAGTTTTATATTTTAATACAAATTAATTTGTGATTAATTTGTTATCATTAATTGAATAAGTGTATTTAAAAGGATTTTTAGCCATCTTGGTTAAGTATTTTTTTGGAATTTTTGACTTTTTTTTGTTGGAATTTTTTTTTTTTAATTTGTGACTGATAAATAAATTTTCAAAGAAATATTGATAAAAAGATTGATTTTTATCAAAATCCCTATAAAATTCAGGAAATTCAATCGAACCTTGTCTATCCTTTTGAAAATTTTCAAAAACTGATAATTTATTCAATGGTTGGGTTTTGGTATTTATATAAATATTATCATTATTGTCAAAATTTATAATAGATTTATTTGTATCCCCCCCGTATTTGCTATTCTTCATGTTTCTGCAATTTGCTTTTGGTATTTCTTTACTATTCTTGTGCCCATTTTCATTTTTGGTTTTAAAATCAAAATCAAAATCATCTTGGTTTCCATGAAAATTAATTTCAATTTGTGATCTTTGGGCAGTTTTTTTTCCACTTTCATTATTTTGATAATTCCCATTCAAACTCAAAATATTTGGATTTTTTTTGAAATTATAATTAAGATTCTGACTCTTCTCTATAATCTCTAATTCTATTTTTGTATTATTTTTGTCTTCAAAATATCTTGGTTTTTCTTTTTTTTTAATTATTAATTCATTTTCATTTTCATGTCTACTTTGAGGATTCAATTTAGTTTTTGGCTGTTTTAAAGTTTCAATAACAATTTGTTTCTTTTTCAATTCAAGTTCTGGGCTATTATTTTTGCAATATTCTGTTTTTTTTTTAAATTCATCTTGATTTATTGATTTGGTAACAAATAAGAGTTTGTTTCGTTTCTTGAAAGTATTTGGACCATAATTCAGCAATTTCACTTTTTGAGGCGAATTTACTTTCTTTTTTGCCAAGTGGCTTTTGACTTTGTCTTGTGGAATAGTTTTTATGACTTGATTTTTTTTTGGATCATTAAAAAATATTTCATTTTTGAGGTTTGTTTGTGTTTTTTTTTTGAAATAATTTTTTTTTGTTGGTTTTGGTCTTTTAAATTTTAATTGTGGCTTGTGTCTATTCAAAAGGGTATAACTACCTCTGTTATTCGTCCTTTGTATATGTTTATTATTATGAGCATTATTATTGCTTAAAATCATTTGTTCAAAGAGATCTTTTTGAATCAATTTCTTTGAATTTGTCATTGTTTTGGCATTGAACCTTAATCTTTTTGAAACACTTTTGTTTTGGAGGAAAGCTCTTTTTCTTGTTAATGAATTCAGAAGAATTTTTTGTTTGTGTTTTGAGACAGGATATGTTGGGCACATAGCCATCATTTTCAGCAGCTTATCTCGGCTTAAGTGATTTGGTAAAGGATAGACTTTTTGTGAATGACTAAAGAAGCCTTTTTCTGTGGACAGCAGCTTATTTTGTTGCAAGGCTCTATAATTTGGCTGTGAATGGCTTGTAAAATTGCCGCAATTATTCTTTGGTTTTGTGCTATTGAGATTTCGTGAAGAAGATTTGAATTTATTCTTCCTTCGTTTCATAGATCGTACAACTTTCACAGATCTTTTTGGTGTGTCTTTTGTTTTGTGCTTGGTTTCAATCGTTACATTTTTTGTTGGTGAATTCAAAATAATACAAGACTTTATTCGTTTTGCCCTCAAGTTAAAAGACA